CACATGTGCTGCTCAACATATTCATCAAGAGTTAGAACTATTCCTGTGGTGTACGCAGTTAAGTTATTTTCAAAAATTTAAACTTTCTGATAACTCACACTGACGAAAGCAACTGTTGATCGCGATGAATTCCAGGAAAGTAAAGCCGAACAATGACTAATGGCAGGGAATTCCTACGGAAATTCTGATAGGTTGACGGAAGTTGGAAACCGTTCCCATGCAGTAGAGGAGTCTGACTGCATTACGGGAATCTAGATAAATTACAGAGAAGTATTTCTCCTTTACACTTGAGACTGATAGAGTAATTTTCAAAATACGTACAATCTGAGGTCATACATTTTTATATTGTTGATACTTGCTTATAAAACTTTATGGAAATCTAATATCAAACTTCACTGCACTCGATTTCAAAACCATTAAATGCAAAGGAAAACTTTACAAGAGAACTCGCAAGTTTACAAGTAGCGACCATCCTCAACCTCTAAAATTTTCCCTAAGTCCTTGGATTCAAGCACAATGTGTTCTTCAATATAATTCATCAAAATCATGTCATTAAAAATTGTATTCATTACCTCGATGTAATAGTACAATGGCACACACAAAAAAATTCCGCATACAATTTCAGCTTGTGGTGTATTGCACCGAAACTAGCGTGATGAGGAGGTAAGCAATTGAGAGCAGGACTTTAAAAGATATTTCATTTATTTAAAAATCGTGAACATGTTCAATACGGACGATAAGCTCCCGAAGTGAATAAAACCTTCTTAATGTTCCCTCTCTATGTCGTTCCTAAGGCTGAACTTTCTTGTATGGTATACTCCCAATATGAGAAAAACATGTGTTGGCAATGAACTTCATTTAAGTACAGTATGGTATGTCGACTTGTTTAACTAAATTATAACTAATAAAATACCGAGAAATTAGGAATTTAACTCGAACATAAAAATCGTCGCAAGTCGAGTAGCGCTGAATCTTTTCTCTGTTTGTCGAGTATTTCAAATGCTTTATCTCTATTATATCTCATCGTATGTAGCATATGTTATACATAGACTAACAAAGCTTTATTACTTTGCCAAAGATATACATTTTTTACACTTGGTTTTCGTATGCGACATACGAACCGTGTTCGTATGTCGCACCGTAGCTATGCATGGTAATCCGATTTAATGTCAAGTGAATATACATGATCGCATAAGTTGTATATTACCTGCACTAATTTCAATTCGGAGAAGCTTTCAATTTTAACTATTATTCGTGTATTATTTTACTATAACGTCAGAAACTTTGAGGGATTACCTATTTTTTGTACTTTTATTATTAGAATAACTCAAGCAATTAAACTTTAACAAAATAATTAGGACAATTTATGATAATTATACATGAACGATTTTCTTTTTTTTCTGCAAATGCGTAGAATTTAATATTTGTTTTATGCTCCATGAGTTTTTAGGAAAAGTAAAAATTCATATCAAATTTTTTTATTTAATTGACGTAGTAGCAAAAATATAATAAATAAATATCTGGAGAGTTTCTAGTAACGAAGAATTTCAGCAGCCGAAGCAATTGCCTGCTCCAAATCACCCGTAGAATCTGGCATGAGAAATAATTCTGTTAGAATCTTATTAGCTGATATTAATTTGTATGGAATTTCACATTTCAGGATTAATGCTGATTCTTATTTGATAAAATTAATTAATTTAACCTTAGGTCAATTCGGTTGTGAGTTTAATAAGTTAGGAATTATCCAAGAGCTCTCTGAACTCTGTCGTTATACGTGAGTCGACAACGCAAATCAACCAGAAGCCGTACTATAAAATATAGTTAAGATATCGTAACAGCGTTTGAATAAATAACTAACCAAAAAAACTCACCCATAACCGCCGTATCCACCATATCCTCCATAACCTCCTCCCCAGCCTCCATAGCCTCCGTAGCCTCCATAGCCACCATATCCTCCATATCCTCCATAACCGCCATAACCGCCATATCCTCCCCATCGGCGGCGGTGAGGCTCAGCATCGGCCACGGGGTAGGCGTAGGCCACAGGCCCGGCGGCCGCTAGGGCCACGGCACCCAGCACCAACAGAAGGACAAACTGCAGGTAGACAAAAGTTATCAGTAACTTTTATTTCAGCGTCGTTTACAATTCAAATGCAAGGAAAACATATGAGATTATCCAAAGGGAACGTTCCAGAATAATATATTTATCCTCAGTATGCATTTGAACAGTGAAATAAAAATTTACGATTACTGCTCTTAGAAAACGTCAAATGAAAACGTGATCATGTTAGTGTACAAAATCTGTGGGAGGCATACATGCAGGTGATTCCTCTTTGTCAGATATAATAATTCATAAATTAGCCGATTCAATAACTTTCAAAGCAATTATGAATTTCAGATTTCAATTTTCATATGGTTTTGTCTTCGGCTGTCGGAGTATTCCTAATTGATAACGGGGGCGCTGTAAATAAGACATCGATTATTTAACCGTGTACAATATTTTTGGTAACTAAAAAATTCGAATAATTGTTGCAGTGAAGTAAGTAAATATTTCCATGCCGTGTTCCAATAAGGACAATAATATCTGAAAATGTTTAGTTTGATGGAGTAATATTTTTGTTGATCAGGTGTCAGGTCGAAAATTATTTTCTTTCAAATAAAATTATTACATTAAATGTGATGAAATTTAAATATAATAAATTTGTTGTTCTGAGTTCGAATATTTTTCTCAATAACTTCATGTCTCTGCAAAAAGCTGTGTATGTCATTCGGAGTTTATTAAAAAATTGTGTTTTTTTTCAGATAAATCATGAAATAATTTGTAAGTAATAAAAGTATATTAGCATTTTCCTCTGTCATTTTGTACTAGCTTTTACATACAGTGAAATATGATTGAGATTGCATATTGAGTGAAGAGACTGCCGAAACACTGGGAAAAAAGTCTTCACAAATGATGGACATACAATGCATTAACATGACTCTAAAACCAAATTGGAACATAAATTAACTATTAAATAACTATTTCATGCACAAAGCACTATAGTAAATATGTTTTCATCAACTTAAGGTAAGACTGACCATAAATTTCGATTCCATGATTACGTCTGGTGCAGTCACCACGAAAATGTGAGAGAGGCGCTTAGAGATAAGTCCGACTTAGTAATGCAGTTGTGTGGTAACGTGGCCAAGTCCGCTCGAGTCTTTATGTGGCAATGCACTTGGTGAAGCAGCAGGCACAAGTCTAAGTAGAAGCGCTTCAAGTTCCTTCCTTATATACTGTATTACTACGGGGAACCCCGAGGCTCGAGAAAGCTATGAGCAAAAAAAAATAAACTTCTCTAACCGCTACACTTCTAGCGGGTACCGGTTTTTAAACCGGCGCTTATTGAGGGACCGTTGCGGTCTGTGCTGAGGCAAACTGCAGGCGCATGCATTCTGCAAAGTCTGAGTTGTACATGCCAGAAACAATGACACATAATAACCTGAGCTGCATTTTCAGGATGAATTAGTGTATGTATATTGAATAACATCATTTGCCAATATCCATTTCGGATCGAAATCGAAAAGTATTAAATTTTAAAAAAGGAAGCTTCTGGTTACTTTCAATTTATTAATCCGACGTAATTTTTGCTGACCTTTATTAATAATAATGAACTTTAATAATCATTTGTTAAAAATGAAACCAATCTCGAATTCGGCAGCACAACATTTTATGCAACTAATTTATGATGAGTGGACTCGGACATTCTGCACGACGTCTGCATATGACACGGCGATGACTTGCACCGGCAGGATTAACTGCAGGTGTCGGGGGGAAAGTTCGGGAAAAGTTCAACCCGACAAAAAATAATCGCTTGCATATTCGGGTACCAACGTCGGCCAAGAGGAGCGGTCGACCAAATTCAGGGTAACATTTTTAGTAAGGAAGCTGACTAAATCCCAAGTAAGTCTTATAAAGTCCCATATACCGTTTAAGTGACTGAGCCATAGACTGTATATGTGACCGAACCATATTCTGTATAATAGACTGAGCCATTTACTGTATATGTACCTGAGCCATACACTGTATATGTGACTGAGCCATTTACTGTATATGTGACTGAGCCATACACTGTATATGTGACTGATCTATATACTGTATATGCGACTAACAGACAAGACAAATAGTGTACACACGAAGAACGATTTGCATTATCGCATTTCACAAAGGCACAGATATGAAGAGCAACTGAAGCGATACCTTCCAGCAATATTTTTTTATAGTCACTTCATAGTCTATGTCTACAGGTAGTTTATTCAGTACAAAACTTGGCTTGCAATTTCCTGCAGACTTGCATGCGTGTTAGAGTAATCGAGTCATTGACATCTGCTTGACATAGTGATGACATAGGAATGCCCATCTTTTGTCAATCGTTTCGTTATCTATAAAGGACTAGTATCACAAAACCTTATTTTTAATTGACAAGTAAGACTAATTTCAATATAAACAAGAAGATTGTCACTGAGCCTGGTCACTACTGAATGAGTTTCTCCGAACATTTTCTCTCCCGGTCGGGCTTGATTGATCTCACATCTATACTGAGTTTTTAACGGGCAAGGCGTTTTTTTAATCAACTAATTTTACTAAAAGATGTTACTGTAATATTAGCCGAAATTGATTGTGACATTTGCGATACGAAACTTGATAAGACGCGTGAACACGAATAATGGTATACATAAGCGGTCTCTCGGAGTAATATATTAAGTTTTTTTCCATTCGTAAGATCCAATTTATGTTTGGTTTTGATGTCAATAATATATTTCTTTTTCACGAGCATATAATTTTTTTTGGTGTTTGAAGAATTTTTCGTTGATTTTCTGCCATTAAATCTCATCTATTATTCGTAAATATTTTTACGCCATTCGATTGGAAATTAGATTATATCGTTCAATTTTTAAAGTCAGGCAGGACAGTAAAAAAACGTAAAGTTTTAAATTATTTCGATAATATATATAGGAACAACTTAAGTTAACAAGTAATGTAAAATTTTGTCCGGTGTCAATGTCAAGTTCCAGGAGCTTTTTCCGGTCCATATCACCCATAGTATCTGGGGAGGAAAAAAAGGTCTCGTTGTTATTGGCTGTTATAAACTCTGATGAAAAATAAAACAATACATTCATGAGAGATATCATCCTGAATCAATCATGAACTTTACTAAACAACTATCTAATTTAATCTCATTTGATCAGAATCCTGAACTGGATCTCAGAGTTTGGGTTAATTCAATGAATCATATATAAACATATTTTCTCAGAAAACGCCACTAATTTTGTCGTTCAATGCGGTCCACTTGCAATTCCACTTTCGTGGATACCAATTAAGGGAAAAGTTCATTTTTTTACTCACCGATAGTCACAGACGATTCTTCCATAGACGATAGTGTAAAATCGGCATGGATATCCAAAACCATAATATCCACCGTATCCACCATAGCCTCCAATGTATCCACCAAATCCTCCGCTGTAGTAGGGCCTGGGCCGGTAGTAACCACCACTGAAGCTGGGTCTTGGCCGGTTAAAGCTGGGTTTTGGCCGGTTAAAACTGGGTCTTGGCCGGCTAAAACTGGGTCTTGGCCGGCTGGAACTGGGTCTTGGCCGGCTAAAGCCACCGCCGTGAAAACTGCTGTGGCCGGTGTGGCCACTGCCGCGACCGCCACCTCCACGGCGCGGCTCGGGGTCGGCGTTGGCGTTGGGGTCGGCGATGGGCCCGGCGGCTGCTAGGACCTCGGCGCTCAGCACCAGCAAGAGGACAAGCTGCAGTTGGGCGGGAGAGATATGAGTATACCTATACCTATATCTAATCTTATAATTTTGAAACACTTATGATTCAGCTAGATCACTCTATGCCTACCTGTGCTTCCTAGATGAGTCGTAATTAAATGCTTGCATTTTCTGGTCGCGTTGCAGTGTTAGTCTTGTTTGGGGTCCACGCACCAAATTTGTTAAGGCCAATTTCAGCGTTAATGCCAATTTCCTCTGAATGTGATGCCGCAACAGATTTTTTCTATAAGAATTATTGATTTTTAAATTATTTATATTGAATTCGTGATACATGCAGCGTTAGCTGAAGGTATGTGAGACATAATTTGCGTGGTCTCTATCATCAACTGCGGTAAACTTAAGAAATTAAATTTGAAATTTTGACGAGATTTCAGTTAACAGTCTTTTAGCATTTATTAGTTAGATTGAACTTTTTGTTAATTTGACGCATGCTTCTAAGCTATGTATTAAGTATTCAAATAATATTTTCATTCATGAATATCAGAATAACACTTGCACAAAAAAGTAGTTAATGTAACTCACTCTCACGCATCAAAAAACATGAATTATATATATTTAATCTAGAATTTATTGACTGTTGAATCAATTAATGACATGACACACCAAATCAAATTAAAATTTTAACATTGTTAGTGACAATCCAGAATAAGAAGTAGGACAATGACAAGTTTTATAGTTAGATTTTTGACCACAAACTAACCGTTAATTTTGACGTCATCTTTTTTTTGCCCAGAAAACTAAAATTTTAGATGGAGGTGGAAAGGTAAGCTCAATATAACAATGCACTCGAGCAAGCCTCAAACTAATATCTGGAGCAGAGCTTCAGGCTCTTCCTTATATACCTAATTAATTGCGGAAACTCCAAGTCAGGACAGAGCCGTAAGAATACAAATAAATATCTGGCTTTCCATCTGCACTAATTCTGGTCGGCACTGGATGACGGTGAGTGTTGAAGAAGCAGAGACGGGCATTAATGCTCCGGCAAACCGTAATGACGACGAGCTGACGAGCTAAAGTTAGGTTGTTTTTGGAATCAGCATGACAGGTTTACTGGTATTTTTTTCCTATAAAATTAAGGATTACTAAGTATGATTATTTCTGTCTAAGTTATGTATTTACTGGTGAAGAAAATTTACTGGTTGGAAAAATTGGGGGAATAGCAGATGAATTGCTGAGCATTGAAAAAAAAATTTAAGATGGCGCTCCCGGGTTTTTGACAATCCATAATGAAAATATACAGGCTTTGAAACGATTCATAACAACTTTTAATCATACGTATACTCTACCCTAGGCTTATATGCACATGTTTTTAGAAAGAAACTACATGTCAGTGAAAATCATGTGTTACGTAATGCACCTGCGCTTGAAAGCTCTCCTGATTTGGGAGGTTAGGCTGCCGTATGCGGAGTGAAAGTCCGAAGAAAGTTTGGCCAATTGAGAAACGATCGACGGGTATGGACGGCCGACCCTTGGCCAGCGACTTGGAATTTTTCTTGATCAGTAATGAAATCTGAAGCAAGCTCCCCATGGATACATAAACTCTCTTACATATGCTCTAGCTCTGTCCTCTACAGACAATAATCGTTTTGCTTTCTCATTATTTACGTACGACTCTTCAGTTTGTTGGCGTCAGAATTGATAGAATTGTAGCTCAGCTCCTAACCACTTATTTGGACTCTAAAATTATGTTTATTACTAATAAAATCTTGGTCTATAGCTTGCATGCTGAAATTCCTATCTCGATTTCGAAACATCAGTAGTATATTGTAATGATATTATACATATAGCAAAAATCGCAAACTGAGTCTCCTTCCTTAACAATTTTGACCTTGATGCTTATATCCTCACGTACTTCCGATTTAGGAAACGCCAAGGTTCCGCCTATATAGGATGTTGATATATAATCTTTTGATCATCGAATTATTTTCACAATAATAAAACTGGCTGATTTGATTGCCCGCATTCTCGAAAATTCTACGGTGATCCTAAGTCCGGCAATGATAGTTAATTTAGGATACATGAAATTTTTGTCATTAAAATGAAGAATCACGGCATTTTGCATTCAAATCAAAATTTCGACACGCATTTTTTTCTCGCTGTAATGTGCATGAAATCTGTCGTAAACCTTCATTTCACGCTCCTTGTCATTTTTATAATATTTACAGGCTATATTTTATTACTCATGAATTACAGTGTCATGAGTGTCAATATTACTTCTACAGAGGCATTTATAAACACGTTTTTCTTAACTTAGCATCGCGTTTGTTTGTGGATTTGTTTGTTGTTAACATTGACAACGAATGAGTGTCAATATTACTTCTACAGAGGCATTTATTTTAATTTCAGTTTATTTAACTTTTATAGTTCTATAGTTGCATTCACATCTATATTTATTGTCTATTGTAAACCTTTTCGTACTAATTTAAAGCTAGAGTTGATCAATAATTTCATTAACAGCTTAATAAATTTCCTTATAGACAGGGGCTGAAATGGTATTGGTTCTTGCAGAGACTATTCATACATTCATTTCAAATATTATTTACTAGCACGCCTGTACATTGAGTCTGAGTCGAGGAAGAGATTAAAGCAGTTTATTAATGTATCCTGGATAGGCACACATGCAACACCATCGCTATTCAGAACACGAGCACGCCGTGCTACTGTGCTCCAGACGACACTTTTTCTTGCGCTTGAGCTATAGACACAAATGACTGCATACTCTCAGCTTACTTATCAGGATGAATTCGACTGAAAAAAATGCCCTTTTTATGGAACTTTTCTCGAAAAAATAATAGGTGCAAAATTAGGGTAAATTCAAGTCGAAATTTCTCATAATGAGAGTTTTATAAAATAAGGCAACGCTTTTCGCTTATCACAGGGCATCTTCAGAATGTAAATGAAGTAGATGAATAGACCAGAAGTTTCCTGGATGGCTTAAGGCAAGAGACTTCACACGGTTTACTTCTCAATCAAACATGTCTAAATAATGGGCTCTTCACTAAATGGACAAATGATCAGAATAAGGGTAAGGTATTGTTGGTAGTTCGTATATGGATGAAAAGACATATAGAGTTTATAAAACAATGTAATGAAACACACCAGCAACACTCTGCAAAATATTTCCAAATGGTCTGAACACACCAAATAACCTAGATACACTATTTGTATTTGCCCTACACGAGTAAAACACATACCCTATTTACATACATATACACCTCAGGATACTTGCATACCGTTACTTTTATAATCTCTGTACGTTAGATGTACGATCTCCATCGCCCCCCCGAATCTACGTCCAGTGCGATCAGGTTTAAACAAGAATTTCCTCAAGTCATTGACGATGTCTGTATAACACACGAATAATCGATTCTTGATATATTATAATGAAAATGAAGAAACTACGATAGATATATAAATTCGCATGGTAGCAGGTATTGCAATGATATTTTTGCTCATATACATCAGGAATAGACTTCATATTACTGATTGCATAGATTATGTATATTTTTTCACTTATATATCATATTTCTATTCATCTAACATATTCCGGAAGCAGACCAGGAGCGTCCGTGCAGCCGTGAGTGTCAATGGTAGATATTCAAACGCGGTAATTTGTACCGAAACAAATAAGACATGAAATTGAAAAACATAAGGACTGAATTATTATATGTTATAAATTCAAATTTTTGCACGGTATTTACCTTAAGGATACTGTTAACACACAATTGATTACAAGGATACCAATAAATCATAGCAGAATAAAGGGATACTAACAACTCGCAACTGATTAAAAGGACACCAATAAATCATAACTGATGGAAAGGATATTGTTAATACACTATCCATTTGCTTGTTTAGTTAATACTTGTTGAAGATGCGAACTAATTAAATCTACGCAGAAATAGAATAATCACGCAATAGAATAATCAGAAATAGAAAAATCGCGAGTTATTAACGAGTTATTAATATAATATATAATTATTAATATAATACCCTATGTAACTGCACACATTTGTTTACTTTACTTGTTCACACTTGTTTACTTCAATATAAATTCAATTTAATCTGTCAAACATTGGAAAACAAGTTAAAATTCCATAGATTATTTCCCATAATAAAAAATAATTTGAAAATTCATCAAGAAAATTATTAAACGAGAAAAGAAATATAACTCAGTACTCACTGAGTGAGTGATAGAAAGCGCATTTTCTCGTCGACGAAAACATGAAGTCACGGGACAGACGGACAGACATGACGAGCACACTAGGGCATTTTTTCCATAAATGAGAAAATACGCAAAAAATACGAAAAGTTGAATGGACATGCTGATGAATATAGTAATTTTCGACTGCAACTTTATTTGTGATGAGCTAATTGAAGCGCTGCTTTAACAGTTCTAACCGGTTTGTCGGCAACCACAGCAACTGACTTCTTGTTCGAAAATATTAACCGTTATTGCGGCTCTTGTGGTGCGTAGTTTCCACGCTTGAGCTCTGTTTTGTTAAGTACTTGTCTTATGAGTGCAAAGTATGTAGTCGATGTTACGTAATGAACATAAATCTAAAATCACCTCTTCAATGTGACAAATTTAAATATTTATTCTGATAGAGTTTTTTCATCGATATTAATAAACTTGAAACAATGGTTGTGAATTTTTTTTAAACATATAGGTAATTGAAAGAGGACTGTACATTTATGCAGTGTATGTATCATGTGTTCTGCGACTAAGAGTTGTAAAATTATTCGAATAAGTTTCGAAATTTTCCATACTAGATGAATCTTTTTACAGCAGAGGAACCGGTTGCACATTTTCTCTTTGTTTGTGTCTCTGTGCGTAGAACAACTTGTTCTCCTTTGTTTTTTTTGTTATGCTGAAAAATACTAATTGTTGATCTAAAATGTACGAAATGAAAAATAATCGAGTTAAAAAGGAACGGAAAACTGAATGTTCGGACTGCAATTTCACAAAAAGTTTCCTACGAAGGTTCACAATGGATGTCGTAGGAAGAATAAGACATTATTTGCTTAAAAAAGGAACAAATTGCCTTTCTTTATTATGGTTACCTTGAACCGACAGTTCATTTTATACATGAAAATGATGATAGAATGAACTTTTTGAGTTGCCGATCCACGACTCCAACGACTGGCATTAAAACAAGCTCTAAAAATAATTCAAAATTTACTCGTGACGACCTAAATTATTATCATACCGAGGCGAATAAACTATCCGGAATGACAAAATTTGTCGCTGGGATATTCAGTGTCATGGCTTTCCGCTGTATAAAATAATTTGCCTATTCAATGAAGAACATTATGTGTTGCCTAAAACTAGGAATTTGACCTAAATTAGGTATAATGTTGGCCTAAAACTAGGTATTTATGTCAATAAGGTAAAGTAAACGCATTAAACTTGTTTGCCGCACTTACATGCTATGTTCGTAGAAGTTTTCATTGGCATTTGTGTGTTCTGAACTAAATTTAAAATTCGGGCTTTGGCTGCTGACAAAGAAATTTTGAGTTCGTCGGGAGTTACAAATGCAACCAAGGTGGATTTTCATGCTAGCATAGGCATCTAATAAATTATTTATCATTTTTTTTAATTTTCTCTTAATCCTAATTAATTACGAAGAATAACATACGATTTACAACACTCGTAATAAACGGTTATAGCAAACCTAAGCTCTTAATGAACTGAACGAAATGGAAAACAAGTTATTGTTAATAAATTACACGCAATATCGTGTACTGCACAGGATGCTTGGGCTGCAAGCTGACTAGAATGTTCGTCGTTCCTAGTATGTTACGGAGATGTCTTTTATTTCTATATGCTGACGTTTCTTAGGATTATTTCGTTCATGAGTTCATCCATACATTTAGTGGTAAAAAACAAGAGGTTTCGCGACCTGTAAGACCGCGATTATGGCTTAAATTAAGCGAGGCATCAAAGTCGAGTGCTGGCTCGATCATAAGACGTTTTACTTCAATTGAATGAAGAAGTAACATCAGCAATTTTTATTTCTTATACGTCGCGATGCCATTCGCTGAAAATTAATTCTGTTACTTGAGAAGTAATGTGTAATTCGTTAATTTATTCGATTGCTCTGCACTCATTAAAGTTTTGAATTTATGTGAAACAATTAATATGCGTCGTATTTAAAGGACAAACAGGAGCGATGCTCATTTAGTGTTATTGATAATCATTGATATTGAGTGTTATTTGCTACAGTGAAACTTCATTTGGCGCTGCATTTGGTTTAGTTGTTCGAATGATCTGCATCAGGCACTCGGTTTCTGGGCCGTTGAAGGTGTAAAGCCAACACCTAGTTTTAAGGTAGTAAAACATTTTCCATATTTGACGTGTATTGAAAATCGCTTTTAATATTAATTTTTGTTAGAATGGGTTTAAAGGCGATCATCACATTCTCATTATTGTTAGATGTCATATCGGGTGAAATAACTAAATACCATAATACATTGTCTTTTATTTAAAAATTGAAGAGTAAAATCACAAAATATTTTTCAACTAAATACTGGATGCTGATTTTTCTTTTTCGTTATACATGTGGATGCTATCATAGAATTTACAACTGACATTGTTGTTAATAAATACAGGCTAGTATCAGTCGCAGAGATCTCGATATACGGTGGATAACATTCTCGATCAACCTCATGAAGATACCATCACATCCACCATGAAATCAGCCGCCGTATACTCCGTATCCACCATATCCACCGAATCTGCCACCACCGTATCCACCGTATCCCCCGTATCCACCGTATCCCCCGTATCCACCGATTCCACCGATTCCACCGTGGTGATGAGGATGATGGTGAGGCTCAGCATCGGGGATGGCGTCAGGGAAGGGATAGGCAGCACTCAGCACCATCATTGCCAGGCCCAGAACTGCTACAAACTGCAAGGTAAATATCTGTTATTTTATAAATTCAATGGATATATATCTTCAATATATTTTAGTTGCTTCACTAATTCGCTTCAGCGTATTTCTTCAATAGCAAGTAACAGTACAACATATAATGTTAGGTCATTATGTCTTCCATTTGTTAAGACTTTAAAAAGAAGCCATTTAATTGGTGACTTAAATTTTTCAAATATAATAGCGGTGAGCTATTATATATAGAATATTTGTATTATATTATATAATAGTGTAAACTATTTTCATATAGCGGTAAGTGTTCATAATATAAAATTTCATTATTGTTGTTTTAAATACATCCCTCCAAAATGTTCTGTTGGCGAAAAGTAATTAGTAAAACTATGAAAAGAACGAAGAATATAATGAAAAAAAATTAAGAAAAGAATATAATGAACTGAATTTGGATCTAAATCTGAACATTTTCAACAAAACTTACAGCAAATTTCGACGACATGTTTGAATGCAAAGGGCGCAGTTGTCGTCAGCAATGTTAGCAGAACTATGGACAAGAGATACGTTGTCTTGTCTTATATATAATAACTTCTGACGGGCCAAATCAGCTCAACGTAAATGGCTGCATCCGCTCACTTTGTGTCGTAGCTGTAATGGCTGCACTGAGTCTTGGGAGATAGAATAATTACATGTAACTCATCATATTTTAATACTGCGAACGTTTATTTAAGCGACGGATTATTGTAAGTGCATGTCACTAATCAAGTGGGGAAATAAGTCTCCCCATTTATGTTGATAGAGAATATCAACATTATCAATAAACCTTTCAAGTTTTAAGTAGGCATGAGTTTTGCACCTTATGCAATTTAACTACAAAATTCTATTAAACCAGAGAAATTTGCTACTAAACATTTAATTAACAGCGGCGAATCATAGTATGAAGAATATAGTTTGCGTTAATCGTAAGCTCTTGTATTCGTCCTATACCTGCAGATTTGAAATTGAAGTGCTGGCCATGTCAGCAGCTAAAAAACTATAATATCAGTTCGAAAAATATCAGTCCCAGATAATTAATTGTCCAATTTAGAGATAAAAATACAAATTCAAGATGTTTTTAAAATTAATTATTTATTAATTTCATTTAAATATTCATTAGCTGTTATTCAAAATCGATAAAGAATGATTCAAAATGTAATTTTTATTCGATGCGTAAGATTTTATTTTAATGCTTTTGAATACCCTAATAAACTTTTGAAAAATCTCGAACCAAAACGTGTAGTGTCATATTTCCTTTGATTTTAACATTGAATGTCAGCTGATAATATTGCCGGGCTTTGTCTGTTAGCGTGAGAGCGGTGCATAGTTAGCGGGAATTCCCTCTCTGTTAAACCGTCCGGACAAATCATCAACATGCTAGGAGTTCTATAAAAATACGCATACAAAATTTTCATTATTATAACGAGAATATTGTGTGCCACATTTCCAGCTCATGTTTACCAATGCCAGGACAGGCGGTACGAGGGAGATTTAACAGATTATTTAAGATAAAGATACCCAGTTTTGCTGTTTGTTGTTGTCGTAGTTACAGGATTATCTTTGAAGAAAGCGGATATATAGGCCAGCAAACGTGTCTAGCAAAATAGGATTTGGTGTCGGTAATAAGGCAACAAGATAAACACATTGACGGATCCAACAGAGCATTTGGAGGGATGTATTTAAAACAACCATAATGAAATTCTATAATATGAATGCCATGGGCCTATGTCTTCAACGCCGACACTTCTATTCTAAAGTAATGATTTTTAGTAAGTAATGCGAAACGTTAAAAAGAATAGGATGTATTAAGATAGCAACGAATTATTTGTAAGGTATGTAGAAGCTTTTCATCTTTAATTGCTGAACTAAGAGTAATGCAGCCGTTGTTGAACTGTTAGTTAATTATGTACTCGTATTAATTGCGCAGAGCAAGGTTTCATTAATTTCAAAATTTCATTATTTGGAACTTGCACTACAAACGCAATGAAAATAGGTTAATTTAGTACAAAAAATTTAAAGTTTGCATAATTACTGAGAAATAAATTTTAGGTACTGATAAATGTATGTTGTAAAATTACAGTTACAGCTATAGCTGTAACTGTAACCATGTTCGAAGCCAGTTCTTCACGTTCTAACCTATCATTATGACCTTGCATGACATGCCAAGTTTGGTAGGCAGGATTATGAGCTGTTGTAAAGTTTAACATCTTGCACGTGAAGTTTTATCTAGAATATGCTAATGGCAACGACCTTTGCATAAAAACAAGACTGACGATAATTTTGACTGTTAAAACGGTAATCCGAATATTAGATCATGCTGCTTTCTCTCTAGCTGTTGGGTTGTCGTTGACAGCTCGGAATATGTTCGTAATTGGTTTATGCTGAACTTCATGAACTTTGTTCATGATTTTTTAAAACTATGATGCAGTTATACCTGCTCGTGATGAGCTCAATTCAATGATTTTGGTTTTTTTCTAAATAAAGCGTCAACACATGCAGCTCTGATTAACAAATAATTAAAATAATCTGCAAGCAGACAAGGAATTCAAAAGAGAACCATCTCATTCTGCGAGGCTAATGGTAAACTAAAGTTGACAGTATGGGCAATAGCACCTGTTAGGTGAAACATTTCAGAGAATACATATAATTAATGACACATAATTATCATCGAGCACTATAAACTCAAATACTCCAAGTCTTCAATTTAATTCAATTCAAATTTAATTTATTTATGTTTTTCACTATTTTATAGGTACCCAAATCATTCCAACGTTTGATCATTTGAATAATGGTTATCTGGACTTGAATTTATAATAAAGAATAAGTGATTATTTAATCAATGGATTAATGATTAATTAATAAAAAATCGTGGTGCACGAACGATCGTAGGCGCTCCAGGACTCGTGGCTGCGACTGAACGAAAGTTCGAAATTTTTTTTTTTCGAACTGTCGAAAAATTTTTCTTACTAATTTAATAACTAAATTTTGCCATACCAACTTCTTCTCATGAACCAGATACCTACACTATGGTGGAAGCTGATTATTTTGCATTGCTGTACTTTCAATATTATAGTGTATAGTTCTTGTAACGAATTTGAATTCTATGAAACAGGACGCTTCTGTTGGAGTTAAACAAACCCTACTTGACTCAATGCAACATAGATGCGATTTTTTGCTTCTAAATTTTATTTCTAACTACTCTAGTAAAAAATAAATTACTCATTCTTGGTAACTTGAGTAGCATTGCATGGCTGCAATATTCGTTTTCAAAAACCAATAATTTTGATTTAGACGTCTAAGGCTTTGATTCCTCAAAATCCGCACTTGCAAATACGAGGTATTTCTTTCGGATACTTAGACGGATCAAAACTTTTCACGCATTAACGAAAGGCAATGATGAAAGTTAATGCAATAATGGAAGGATTCTTTTCATCATGAACTATATGACTACTAATTACCGCTCATAACGAGTCACCGCTACCGCTAATTTACGCTTATCTGTCAAAACCACATGCGTTAGAACTTTAAATATTTTAACAGAAGGAACTTCGAGAGAATTACTTTACTTCACGAGCGCCTACTGTTGTGGGAGAGCTTCCAACATATTTAGGCTATCCGTCAATTTATGACGCGATAGTGATAATAAAAAAAAACTTCCACGGATCTAGGGTAAAAAGGTTTACTCGGAGTCTCCAAAAACCATTGCGCATTATGTCAAGGTAAGAGTAAAGCATACAAAAATGAGACCTTGTTAAAATATGCAACAAACACTAACCCTAATCCCCTTGTCATACACCATTGAACCACAATGCGAAAAGGTACGAACAAACTACTACTAGTAGCGAGATAAACGCCTAACTTCGCAGTAGAAGCTTTATCTCGTGTATTTTCCGACCTGCGGGAACTACTTTACTACATGAAATAACTACTTTACTGTGGAACTACTTTACTACTACACTCGTATAAAGCTTATGCTCTTCAATTCCTCCAGTGCATTGGAAAATTCAAGGCGTCTCATTGGAAGTTCTCGTAACCATAAGAGAGAAGGCAAGTCTGGTGCCCACGTCCCTGGAATAAGCATTAAATGCAGGAAGTAGCACAACGTTCATACCAACCTAAGCTCTGCCACAAAATAAGATAATTACGGGGTGTATATCAGCAATTATCCTATGCATTTCATCACGCTGGAAATTGTGCAAACATATCTAATACAAATCCAAGCTAAGAGTATTGACATTTTGTACCGACATCATGTGCTCTCAAGTCTTACCCGCACTCAAAGAGATAAAGAAGGTCACTGCTGTGGTAATCTAGCAACCATAATATCGATAAAATTACTGAATAATGTTCCATAATTCACGCGACAAGAGGTTGCAGTCACCCTCAACGCTGATCATTAAAAACATGGTTGAATTAAATACATTCAACCATGATTAAAAAGACCAAGGGCGGATGCGACGAATCCTACTCGTCACCAGCGTGAACCTGGACAAACAAACGACAAACGAATAGCGCAGCTACACTACCAGCTACACTCAGTAAAACGAGCGGAACTTCGGTAATACTTTAGATTAAGTGCATCCAAAAAAGGGTTTTTTTTTTAATTTAATGTTTTTTGGGGTGTAGATTAAGAATCTGAAATCCGTTTTTGGCGGTCGGCATCGGACAACGAATTTTTTCCGATTTTTTATATATCTTTCATAGAAAACGACAATGGGGACCTGTGGGGAACCGGGGGTTTTAGGGGGGGACACACCCGAGGCTCTAATTCGGGCAAAAATCCCTAACCTAACCTAGCCTAACCTAACCTAACCTAACCTAACTAACCTAGCGCGATTTTTGGGTTTTACATAGGTTTACAGTCATTCCCAGATCGATATAGATCATTTCCAGTCAAAAAAAATTTCCAATTTTTTCCAATTTTTCGCCGATTTTGCCAATTTCTGCCCGATTTTTTTTACGAATTAGAGCCTCGGGCGTGTCCCCCCTCCCTAGAACCCTCGGTTCCCCACGGGTCCCCCATTGTCGTTTTTTATACAAAATATATAAAAATCGGATAAAATCGGTTTTCCGATGCCGACCGCCAAAAACGGATTTCAGATTCTTAATCTACACCCCAAAAAACATATAATTAAAAAAAAAACTTTTTTGGATGCTCTTAATCTAAAGTAATACCGGAACTTCATCCAAATCGCGAGCAGAACTTTAGGAAGTTCTAGACTAAATAACGAAGATATTTCGAATAATTTCGTTATTTGTTCAGGCAAATAGCTTATCGGTGCTATGACAGCTCTCTGCTTGTGCTGTGGGCGAGAAAGTATGTTATTGTATGCATAATATAACCAATATTAGTGCGTTATTGTTTGCGTAATGTGATGCTAACAATATGTTAATATGTTGATATTGTTTGCAAAACATTGTAAAACTAAGTAGAATCAAGGATTTTGTATGATAATGAAATGTGATTCTTAAAGTGATGCATAAAAATTAACTCAAAGAGCCGTAAAATGATGTTTCATTTTCAAAATGAAACTCAAAATGTAGTTTACATTTAATGGAAGATGTGCGTTTCGATGGGTTTTTCGTTTGTTAGCTCACATTACCTTTATTATTATTAAAGGATTATGAACGGATTAAAATATTTGAGTAATTTTCTATTCCTGACAACACTGGGTTAATCTGCCAGTGATTAATTACATCAGACTTTCTCTTGATACTTCTACATATATAACTGGATTATTCTTATAGGCTACATTGTGGTAAAAAAATATTTAAAAATGTATCATTTTTATTGAAATTCAAAGGGTTGATGATGGTAACACAGTTCAGCAATTTATTGCAACATTTTATCGTTATCAGTAGAATTTCTTCACAAGAGTGACAAAATGACGGATCATCACTCTGGAAATTAATTTTTATTGGCCTATCTCGTTTCAAAAAGCATATTGATTAAAATATTAACTAAACAACGGATGCTAAGTTTTTTATTTTATAATGTATGACAATGAAGGCTTCGAAGTTCTTCAGTTCCAGGCATGATGCACTCAATCAATGTCCGCAGCTCCCGTTTCAACCACGGAATCCACCACCGTAACCGCCACGGAATCCACCATGGTGTCCTCCAAATCCACCGCCGAATCCACCTCCAAATCCACCGCGGTATCCACCACCACCAAATCCACCGCCGTATCCACCGCGGTGGGGATCAGCCTCTGGGAAGGCGTCGGCGTAAGGGTAGGCGGCACTCAGGACCACCATCGCCAGGCACAGAACTGCGAACAACTGAAAAGGCGATTTTTTAATGATAATAAAAAGTATTCGAATTCTGAGTTTTTCGCTAAATTTATTCAGGTTGCCAGTGAACATTGTTGCAAAATTTTGACTGGGGAGCAGTTTAAGCACGTATGTACTTGATAATTTATTTTAACCTGCACTGCATGGTAGTTATGGTTTTAATCAACTAATTTGATAAGTAGTACCACATGCATCTGCTTCTCAACGAAAGTAAATTGGAGATTTAAAATCAAACGTAAAATAACTTCTTGAAATTACTATAGCGATGCAAAGGCTTTTTTCAAAAATTTAAAGCCTATATATGTTTTGAGTATTTAAAAGAATTCCATTATAAACCAAAAACGAATAAAATATTATAACATAATTAGCTATTGCTTGAAGCAAGAACGCGGAATAGAAATCCATCAATTTGGTGGGAGGTTTCCTCTGCATTTTGCGATATTTTATGTTTAGATACTATAATGTACGTAGACCAAAGACAACGTGGATTTAGATCAGAAAATAATTCGAGTTTAGCCTAATTATTTCTCAATAAACTTACGGCAAATTTCGATGACATGTTGGAGAGAGATGAAGTAATATTTTCTTCAGGAACGTTTGCTGAGCTATGGGCCGGTGTGAGGCTGCTCTGCCTTATATAGCGAACTGCAGTCGGGGCGCGAGGTTCAATTGTGCCTAAATCTGTTTGCCGGCAACCGCGTCATCCGGACCGTGACCACGAGCTACAGTCATAACTAAAGTGGGGATTTTCCTCCCAGAAATTATCCGCTGAGGTTTAGTAATGAGCAGCATTAAAATGCGAAGTATTAGTTAAATTATGTGATGAATTTTTTTAAAAATGGAATAAGGAAATTTTGAATTGTATAATGAAATTATTACCGGTGAATTGCCGGTGAGGTTGGATTTTTGCACGAAATTTCACGTTCTAAATTGTTCTAACATTAGCCGCCATTGTAAAATGCATTAACTCTATACTTAAAAATTGATGAAAACATCATATATCGGTTCATCAAAGTTATAGTATAGCAAATAATATATTAAAAACATAATATGAAAACATATTTATATCTGAGTTCCATATCCTTAATAAAATTTTACCTTACATTTTAATTCAAGGTTTCGATTATAGTTCCAACGATTATCGATCGCTTATTGTCCTTTTTTGGCCACTCAATAGACAATCTCACTCTGCCGATATTTTGCAACTGAGTTACTATGCAGAAACTCATATATTCTGAAAGATCTCATATAAGTCAACTAACAAACATCCATATGATAAACTAAGCCAGTGAATTTATCACACACCAAGGCTATTCACTTTTATAGGATAAGCTCGTGAATAAAACCTGGTAGTGGAACGGTTATTTTCTGAATTTTGAACGTTCGGGCGCTTGACGTTCTTTTTTATTCAAATTATTATATACTGTTATTCAGACAGTGATTTGCTGTTATTCAAACAACGATCTGCTGTTTTTCTGACAACAATTAACTGTTATTCTGACAATTATCTGCTATTATTCAGACAATGATCTGCAGCTAATTTGACAATAAGCCGCTGTTATCGTGACAATGATATGCTGCTATCATGATAATGATCTGCTATTATTCTGACAATGATTAACCGTTATTGTGACAGTGATCTGATGCTGTTCTGCCAATGATCTGCTGTTAATCAGACAATGATCTGCTGTTGTTCTGCCAATGATCTGTCCCAGAGAGAACACAGTTCGAAAGAAAGACCGAGAACGCAGGATAGAAGCGACCGTTCCGCCATTTATAAGCTTGGTTTCACTACCAACTGGCTGGTGTTTCGGTTATGTATTTCATTTACTATAAATTCATTATTAATGTTTTGGGTAACGTTTACTTTTCAACGCCGACTGGGCAAATAAATAGCAGGTTTCATGTAACACATTAATTTCGTTTTAAATATTGAAAAAACATTCGTCTGCACAAAAACTTGATTTTACCTCGACAAAATTTATTGCAATGTTGCTCTCTATATATGAATGCCGGTGGCATAATTCTATTATACAATTTTGTGTCCTGCTTCTCTGTTCGAACATTTTATGACTTTGCAATTAAAACATTAATCACTTGGATCCTCAACTTAATTCTAAAATAATTGCAATTTCGTCGCATAATGAACAAAAATTAATTTTGGAAGTCGCAAATACTCTCTTGGTGAATATAAAAGTGCATTAAGATTAGTAGCATGATAAGAATCTGTCATTTGAGTGTTTTTTTTTAATTTTCAAAGTAATTCTACTTAGCAAATATCTTATATAACTCATTCGCGCACTAGAGTATGTTTTGCATTGACCAGATTAATTTTGTTTCAGAAATAAATAGCTGGTTTAAAAAAGTGTACAGAACCATTTAAACATTTATTTGCCACGTGTATTTGCTTGGCATGACAGCGTTTATTGCGTCTATGTTAAATACGAGTTGGAATACCGCTGCCCGTACCATAGGATAATGAGTTCATCCACCATGTGCTGTAAAATTATTTTTATAAATCTATTTAAATAATTAATCTATTTTATTAACTGATTATCAGCAGGAAGAAATTCCAAATCTTACAATTTATTAAAATTTTGAATTAGAAGGGAGGACTGCCTGATTTTTAAAACAATGACATGAAAAAAAATAGCTGCTTGTTGTCAATAAATTGACGTTAGCGACTTGTTTTTGTAGCGAAGTTATCTTTGAGGGAAACGAGTAGGCCGTTCTTTACCGGAAAAAATAGGGGCTGTGTACGTGCCTGGCTCAGGACAGGCAGTCGTACAAACAACTTATTTAAGGATGCTGCCTTAGTGCAATGTTAAACTCTGATAACGAGAATCACTGAACATAAACGGCTTTATCAATAAAATAGAGTAATATACTTTACGGTAAAACAATCCAAATTGTACTCTGCCTTATTTTTACCATATCAACGGCAGACTGTTAATAGGTCATACTCACGTTAAAATTGATATAAAAATACATAGGTCATATTCACGAACATTGGAAGATTTTATTTAAATCCTTGCCAAAGACAATAAGTTGATTCAAACATCAAACAATGTTACACTTGAAAAAATCACTACATCGCGGTGCTGGCGCGAATATCGAAATGAATAATCAAATTATGCTGAGTACATCGTCAATAAAAAGTTAATACAATACGAATGATGCACAATACAATAGCAAACACAATATTGAAATCTGAAACACGATATTAGAACTTTGACGTTTGCAACGTTTCTTTCGTATAGTGTCATTACAGAGTAGCAAAGTCCCTGCGCAAGAGTCGCAAAATTTATTTAAAGAAATTTTCAAAAATTCACTTGTCTAACCTTTGAAAGAAAATGCGTTCAGCAATTCGCATCACTTTATCCTCTGAAACAATGAATAATTACAATACATCAATCAAATAGAATCTGTCAATGAAAACTTTCAGTCATGTTAACACCGCAAAAACATCGCAAATAACGCAAAAAATTGCTTTCTTGTTCTCTTAAGAATAGTTGCTTGTAAGTCAATTACAGGTCGTTTAATCAGAAGTCAAATTATGTATCATGAACATCATGCTAGTGGCTTACTAATGATATAATGTGAATCTTAAACAAGTTAAATGATACATTGATTCAACTAAATATTAATATCTGTATTTACAGAGTTAATGCACTACTGACCAAATGAATGCAATTCGGAAAGTTTAAGTCAAACTGTATATATGAAAAATTCAGCGTAATAGCTCATTATTATACTGACATCATGAAAATTTTCGGAGATAAGCAATTTATACCATCTTAATTACTGTGAATAAGAATGGAGATTGAATTTACGTTGTTCTTCGCAATAAAAATACAAAAGTGAGAGATCGCAATAAAATTGGCACAATAATCTTATTGGCACAACACAATGCACAACAATCTTATTATTAGCCGTAATCGTTCTGTATTGTATTTTTCTGTATAATCAAGACATCAACGAAATTATCACTGCAATTGCAGTGATTAGATCTCAAAGATATAACTATAATTATCTGTTTAATGTTTACATTTCGTTTCGGAAAGCCTCAAGCTCCACTTTGCTGTGGTGGAGTTTCGTGGCCTGGGTACCACTTGAACCGCGATTGGGTACGGACATGACAGTAATCTTGAACAGGCGCGATGAAAGCGGATGGTTAACATCGTTGATATTATACGTTCGGTGTAATCGAATGTTTTTTGAGTTTATTTTTTGATGTTTGTTTGTTGTTTCAATGAATACATACATTCTGAAAATGTTATTTTATCGAATTTAAAGAGATTGATCTCGGGAATTAAAAATCAATACGATAAAGTCGAGGTCATCGTCCCTGGCAAAAATTTCATATGTTTGTCGTGTGGCATTTTGTTCAGCTTTGATTGTGGCAAGAATCACCCTCGCTTTATCAAGGTTCGCTTTGAGTTGAAATAAACGTGACCACTGCAGGAAGATTCAGGTTTGGTGGACACAGTGAAGAGTTGCATTTACGTTGACGCTTATAAAAGCGCCAGCTCGGGACGATATTACAACACAACTTGGCACCGTTCCTCGCTTACAAGTCAACTTCTGCTCTAAGTTCAGCACCGACCCCATAAGCATAATGACTGCCATGGTTTCCGTGAGTGTTGTATACAATAATTGTGTTGTTGATTTATATGGGAACAAAGTTTGGTACATCTTCGATATAATATGTCAGAAATATTCAGTGAACATTTACAATAGTTTCATTTTTCTCTAAAGGAAAATGAGGCAATCCACATTTAATTATCAATTTATTTAAGGCTATTTCCTAATTCAGCGCTGAGTCTTTTTCAGATTAGACTCCAGTGAAATGACTTTTAGTTTTAAGACTCCAAAGTGCTCGTGATCCAAAATTGCTTATCGAGAATTCCTAAGTGTTTATGACCATCAACTGTTTTAAGATCAGATCGAAAGTCGATTTTTTAATATCCGGCCTTGCTTAAAAAAGCACATAATTCTTTTATTTAAAAATCTGCTACTGTTATCTTAAATCCGCAATACAGTGTAAGTTAATTGTAAGTTGTTAATCAGATAATTGATCATTTTTTGTTAAACTGTCTCAGCTGAACCATGAACCTAATAAGTGACAGCTATTTTCGGGCATAAGGTGACAACTTTTGCTAATTGGAAAATTAATATAAATGCAGGATTCTTTGATATAATAATACAGTTAATTAATAAATAAAAATCCCACGTCGTATTTAACATAGACGCAACGCTGTTATGCCAAACAAATACTCGTGGCAAATGAATGTTGAAATTGTTCAGTACATCATTTTTAAACCAGCTATTCATTTCAAAAACAAAATTGATCTGGTCAATGCCAAAATTAATATTGACTTCTTCTTTGTTATGAATGGAAAACAAAAAAATTGGGTTAGTGCTTCACAGTGTCTATAGAAACCTTTGTATGCGAGGGATTTTTTGAATTAGAAGGAGGAGGCTCCTTCGGAGTTGAAGGCCGGAGGTGTTCTCGTTTAGTGGCCGAGGTGCCGAGTGCATCAGTGTGAATTAATCACAAAGGCATGGTATCGTAGAATTGAAAATTGTGCAATGTGTCTACACTATAAGATACTTTTATATGGCGATACTTATTATATATAAGATACTTTTATATACTTTTTTATATATATTATATACATTAAAAAGCATTGTATAGAAGCGTATGTTCTTTTGTCGCATTTGCCTGCTGCCCATTCGGTCCTAAATGATACTTACGAATTCATGACAGGACCTGGAGGTCATCAGGTTTGATTAACATTCACTAAAAAAATCTTCGACTTTGCCTGCGCAAGTTGTTCGTTTCGATTATATTTTTGTGATGGGAAAATAGAAATTTTAACGTCACGGCATAATTTGCCAAAGCCTTCTTGCATCCAATATGAATAAAACAATGGGTATAATATGAAGGATATCAATCATGAAAGTGTATGCCGGGAGAAACCGCAGATGGTTTATTTCAAATGAGCGGGGCTCACTCTTTGTTTTAATTATTGAGAGGAAAATTCAGTCTCGAACTTTATTAAAAGCTAATAATTTTGAGTTACTACGTTAGATTTTTAATCCGATGTCGTCGTCAGTCCTGGGCAGCGTCTCACTAATTTCTTGTTCTGTGCGGTACGAGTCATGATAATTCCATCAATGCTTATGTAACATCTATAAATGTACTCTGTTAATGCATTTCTCAGTGTTAATGCCTTTCGATGATAAAATCTATTTTTATTATCGTGATAAACACGCTTGCATGCCTGCCACAAACTGGCGGCAGTCGAATTGTGTTTCGTTTCTACATAGACTATGCCTTATTAATAAGCCAAAAATCTTTTTCTTTCTAATTTTGTACCCAGAAAAATATTATTATTAGAAATGAGATTCATCTATGGACATCATCATGCTATGGACATCATCATTATTTTTCATCATAAGATTATAAATTTATAAAAAAAAGCCTGTGGAATTTTTTCGAACGCTGCGTAAATGGTCCAATTACAATAATCAATCAATCAATGTAATCAATACAGGTTACCTTTAAAATTAGGTTTATATTGACTCATTGACATTTTCTATCCTATAGTAGTTCGTCTTGTAACGAAGAAGACGACTCTTCAATGTAGCTTCTCTAGTTAAAAAATGGTATTTTTTACAAATTTCTGTGTTTCAGGTCTTTGATTCGCATAGATTAAGGTCTAGGGAAGCCCTATTGGTTTTAACTTTACAAGTTTCGTTCGAAAGACGAACTTTGCTGCAGTCAATGCAGATAATTTGAGAGTAGACCAATTTGCATCAAGCGAATCTTAATCACATCAACGTGGTCGATGTGATGAATATAGAGGAGTATAGTATACGCATGCATGCGTAGTAATTGTGGTGAACCAAGAAACTGATAAGTTATTATAGCTTTTCGTCCTATAGACCATTCCGTCAGTTCCTTCCTTTAAAACTCGGCGATTTCGATTTGCGCTCAAGTTAAACTAAGGACCAGAGGCCATACTTTCAAAACTCGCTAAGTTGACGTAAGTACTCACGCTCTATTTTCTTGTCTATGATTGGTGGATTTTGCTTGAAAGGCCGTCAATGATTGGCTGATGAACTTACGGTCTCTTAACTTTTTTTGAAAGTGTAGGCCCAGATTGTTCGCTGGAAAAGAGCAGTATCCCGACCACGAGACTCATGCCTGCATGGATGGAACAAATCTGTAGGACCATGAACCATTGGTCACTTCCATAAAGTGATTTGTAAGTTACTTGACAATATGGTTGTTCCCACTGACGACAGTGTGGACTCCTGCCTGACCCTGATAGCATCGTTGGCGCTCCGCGTATGAACGCCTTCCAGAACAGACTAGACGAAGCTATGCAGGAGCATATGTTCAGTCTTAAAATGCCTAGCAAATTACGGACCAGGCAATAAGTCCAACAGCTATCTCAATCAATCGTCAGCTATGGAAAGATCGGGTTTAGAAGGCCGGATCCCTTGTGCAATCAATTAAGTCGCGAAAAGTACAAAAATCGGCAACTGCAGGTCACGGGCCTATTTCTTCAGTGCCGACACTTCTATTTTTTGTGAGTCTCGTCATTTTTTATTCGAGACGCGACGATCCTATGATCTCTGTGCCGATCATCGATACAAATGTAGAAAATTCTCATGGCAAATTGGGAGGGAATATGCAAGCATAAGCTAAAATATGTCGATGAATATATAGCATGCAGTTTTAGTTGAAAGTATAAAAGAGTGCTTAGCGAAAATCGGAAGATTTAACCTCATTTTATTAATTTTGAAATTTGCTTTGTTCATAACAATCGCATTTTCACTAAAATTAGGCTCATTTATAACTGCTAGAAGAAATTATTTAACCCTTTAGCGTCTAGCTGTACACATCTTTCGACCTTTATAAGGGCGATTTTTGTTAACATTTGAAGCTCATTCGTCCAATTGGACATATATGTTGGCTTTAATATCAGGCTGTTCTATGCCCAGTTGAGGGTTTTGTCGCCTGTTAGGTTTTTTAATGAATAAATTTCAGCTTTGTAGTATGGATGAAATGTAGTATTTTGCATCTGCAAGGTAGAAAGCCGCTAAAGGGGTAATTTAGTATATCAATATCATTCTCATTTAGATTATATACAAATGGGTTTTTATTAATTTCTTTTTGATTTTATGCGAAACAAGTCAATAGCGTTTATTTACCCTATGCTTGTGTTAAATTTGTAGACTCATTGATATAGCAAAAGTCGAATCAATTTTACTAGGTATTGAAAAATTCGGTAATTTTTTCATGTATATTATAAATGATAGTACATTGACTGATGATAAATAAACATTTCGACCCTTCGATACTGCTTTAGAAGTTGGCAGTTGAGCTCGTACAAATCTTGCATGGTTATAACGAGTGCTTTTGTTATCTAACATTATTGATTAGTAAATGCACAAAAAAAAAGAGTTTTTGACATCACAGGCAGGTCCATCATAGAAAACGTCACAAAAGGATTCGCAGGATAACTCAAGCAAAATTTGATTTTGCATGCAACAGGCGAGGCTCGCTGTATATCTTATAACAAGCTGAAACAATAAATTCAATGTGTCTATGTGCAATCTATATCCTAATGTAAGACGTCTGTTAATCAAGGTAATTAATTGATGAATTAATCCTAATGTGGACAGAACATTTGCTTCGTCTCCTGAAGTAAATTTCTCCTGGTAAAAATACTGATTATAAATCCTGCCACGTTATGGTTTCACAAACGGAAATTCACATGCATTGCAAATCCAACGCAGCAAAAATGACTTACTTTCCTTTCAAATTTAAGCTCCGAAATTTTCTTCCAATAGATGAATCTTTCGTCAGTTGATGCTAAATAACAGTTGAAAGAATAATGCTATAATGCAGGAGACTTCAATCCCTTCAAAGTTGTGGTTTTAAAAATTTGTGAGTAAGAAACTTCCATGAAAAATGTTTGGGTGCCTGAAGTTCAGAAGTTGCCATGTACTCATTAGCTGATTATTTTTTGACAATGATGAAACTTTTGAAATAAATTTGATTGAATTTTGAGATTTAACGGTGCTGACTTCATCTTCCGTCGAAGGTAGATACAGTCATTGTACTTAGGGGGAAATTCATAACTCGATGGGGCCTTGATGCTTTACTACCTGAAATGGTAGGCAGAATATTAATATCAATATTAATTTTAATGAAACTTTCTGTCACATGAATCGACATTATTCAGTGAGAATCAGTTGCAAGATATACAGATATAATCACAGGTATACCGTTATAGAGATTGAAGGGGAAGCAAAGCTTGGTCATAAATAACGAGCAAATAAAGACGTCGCTGAGAAGAGATCGCTATTACGTGACACAAGCTATAAAGTCGTGGCTTGGGTACCACTCGTAGCGCGATTGGGTACGGACATGATAGTAATCTTGAACAGGCGCGATGAAAGCGGAAGGTTAAAATCCCTGATGTTAAAGCGGAAGGTTAACATCGCTGATATTTTTCAGTTTATTTTATTGATGTTTGTTTGTAGATTCAATGACTACGGATATTAAAAAAAATTATTCAGTCGAATTTCATGAGAATGATCTCGGGAATTGAAAATCGATTCGATATTAGTCGAGGTCGTCGAAAGAATAAATAGCTAGTAGACATTCCTAAACGAACATTTTACGCCGAGTTTGTCGCCTAGAACGATTGTCCACAGAAGTAATTCTGGAAACTATAACGAAGTGTATTTTTTTAACGATCTGTTCCGTCCAACAATCTTAAAATGCTCGCAGTACACAAGATATAAATCGTGCATTGATCAGGTTCGTTGAGGGTTTTCATGCACTTACACGCACCGATCGAATATACGATTTCCCATAAATGAGCAAAAACATTAAATGAAATCAGACCAATAGATAAAATGATCGCTGAAGAGCAGGTCAATAAACTTTTTAAATGAAATATAATGTACGAAAATTCGTCCCAAATATTTTTCAGTGAGGGAACTAGATGATGACTTTTGAAAAGAAATTTATGGTTGAAATAAAATGCTCTTCCTTATGCGTGATTTTTAATTTAATAAATTTTTAAATTTATCAAATTTACTTCCTTCTCACTTTTGCTACACTTACGAAAAATCACTTGGTCAAAAAATTGTTCAAATGCTTCAGAAATTTATGAATTTATCTGAAAAATAGATGATACCATTCAAATGAGCGACAGATTCAAAATCTGTATCCGAAACTCCACGAGCAATTCGCGTGGCATTTTGCTCAGCTTTGATTGTGGCAAGAATCACTCTCGGTTTATCAAGGTTCGCTTTGGGTTGAAATAAGCGTGACCACTGCAGGAAGATTCTGGTTTGGTGGACACAGTGAAGGTTGCATTTAATTTGACGCTTATAAAAGCGCCAGCTCGGGACGATATTACAACACAACTTGCCACCGCTCCTCGCTTACAAGTCAACTTCTGCTCTTGCTCTGGGTTAAGCACCAACCCTATAAGCATAATGACTGCCATTTTCTCCGTGAGTGTTTACAATAAAATTATTTTAGCCTACTAGCAATAAAGCTCGAAACGTAAGCTTCACCAAAGTAGCTCTTTATGCTATGACTAGCTATTTGTAAATACATTAACATAGAACGAGTTAAAAAATTTTCCACAATCCTTACATGGTTAATTTGAGTGATAAAGTTTAGGCACTACAAAATATTTCATTGAATAATCGATTGGATATAATGCACTGTATATAATAATTGTGTTAGTGATTTATTTCGCAACGAAGTTTTGGTACATCTTCGATGACTACGGAGTAATATGCATGGCCACCACTAATATTCGATGACTAGCAGCTATAGTAATAATTGGTAAACATTTACAAAAATTTAACTTTTCTCCAATGAAAAATGAGGCTTCTCACAATTGATTATCAATTTCACTATGGCAATTTCGACTTCAGTGCTGAGTCGGATTCAGATTAGACTATAGTGCAATAACTTTTCCTTTAAGACTTCAAACTATCGTGATCCAGAACTAGCTTAGCGAGAATTACCAAGCGTTTATGACCATGCAACTGTTTTAAGACTAAATTAAACGAACGTCGATTTCTTTTCATTTCCGGCATTGCTTAAAGAAACACATAATTCTTTTGTATATAAATCTGCCACTGCTATATCAAATCCTCAATACAGTGTGAGTTAATTGTGAAATTTTCACAATTAACTTACATTTCTATCACATAATTGACATAATCTGTTAGATTGTCTCAGCTAAACCACCAAGCTAATAAGTGACAGCCATATTCAGGCATAAGGTGGCAACTTTTGACAATTGCAAAATTAATATAAATGCAGGATTCTAAGCGTTGATGGAATCAATATTGACTTCCTCTCTCTTATGAATGGAAAATAAAGAATTAGGTTAGTTCTTCACAACGTCTGTGGAAACATTTTTATGCGGGGTTTTTTGAATGGGAAGGTTGAGGCTTCTTCAGTGATTCAGGTGTTCAATTTCAGTGCAGTGGGTGCTGAACGTTTCAGTGTGAATTATCAGAAATGCATTGTGTCATTGAATTGAAAATTTTGCTATATATCTACACTATAAGATCTATATTATTACATGACTTAATAGGCGTCTAATTCACATCATACATTCCTCACTAGTTGTACCTTTAAACGAAACAAAGAATCACCTCGTATCAATTGAAACTTCATCAAAAATTTTGTTTAAAAAAAGGGGGTGGCGCGCTGCCCCATGTTGCCCTACTTAATTACGAATTCATGATGGCGACACGTTTTTTTTTAACTTTTCAAATAACAGTGACTTAATTGATACGTTTGGCCAGGGCGCAGCCTGACTTACCCTGCCTGACTCCCTCGAGCAGGTGAAGGCAACTCTTGCGCTGTGACTCGAGGCTCTGGCGCTAGCCTGACTTGCTATACCTGTCTTGCCATCCAAGTAGTGGCAACTCAGGCATTGTGCTTCATGGGCTCTGGCGTTCGCCTGACTTACCATGTCTGTTCTACCTTCCAAGTAGTGGCAACTCTGGCATTGTGCTTCATGGCTCTGGCGTTCGCCTGACTTACCATGTCTGTTCTACCTTCCAAGTAGTGGCAACTCAGGCATTGTGCTTCATGACTCTGGCGTTCGCCTGACTTACCATGTCTTTCACCTCCTGCAGGTGATGGCAACTCTGGCGCTGTGCCTCGTGGCTCTGGCGCTAGCCGCTCCTGCACCTCTGCCCGCACCCATGCCGGTCGCAGCTCCACAAGCAACTAATGTTCACGGACACAGAAGGGCCTTCCATGGGAAATTCGGTAACGGACATGGAAATCAAAGAAATCATGGAGGATTCAGAGGCGATGGATTCGAAGACGATACATTCGGAGGTGGAAGATTCGGAGGCAGTGGATTTGGAAGCGGAAGATTCGGCGGCTGACACTACTGATTCAGTGATAGACCAGTGGATTTCAAGTGGGCTGATTAAATGTCACATCAATATTAAAAGCTCATTTACTGTTCCCCATGTTTCATATGAAGGTTTGAACATAGAGATAGTCTGGTTCGTCTAAAAATGCCCTAATATATCTTTTAACTTTGCCTGTGCAAGTTGTCCCTATATATATTATATTTCTATGTTGGGAAAATAGGAATTTCAACGTTACGGCATAATTTGCTCATATAAATGCAATAGCCTTCTTGCACCAAATATTAATGAAGCAACTGGCATAGTATGACGAATACCAATCATGAGAGTGTATGCCGGGAAGAACGAGTTGGTCGATTGCAAATGAGCGGGACTCATTGTTTTGTCATAACTATTAAGGGGAAATTCAGCATCGAACATTATTAACAGCTAATGATTTTAAGGTACGACGTTAGATTTATGATCCGATGTCGTCGTCAGTCCTGGGCAGCGTCACTCTCATTTCTTGTCCTTTGAGGCCCGAGTCGTGCTTTGAGGCCCGGGTCATGCTGTGAGGCCCGGGTCATGCTGTGAAGCCCGGGTCATGCCGTGAGGCCCGGGTCATGCTGTGAGGCCCGGGGCATGCTGTGAGGCCCGGGTCATGCTGTGAGGCCATGGGCATGCTGTGAGGCCCGGGACATGCTGTGAGGCCCGGGTCATGCTGTGAGGCCCGGGTCAATGAGAGTGTATGCCGGGAAGAACGAGTTGGTCGATTGCAAATGAGCGGGACTCATTGTTTTGTCATAATTATTAAGGGGAAATTCAGCATCGAACTTTATTAAAAACTATTGATTTTGAGGTGAGACTTTAGATTTATGATCCAATGTCGTCGTCAGTCCTGGGCAGCGTCACTCTCATTTCTTGTCCTTTGAGGCCCGAGTCGTGCTGTGAGGCCCGGGACATGCTGTGAGGCCCGGGTCATGCTGTGAGGCCCGGGTCATGCTGTGAGGCCCGGGTCATGCTGTGAGGCCCGGGACATGCTGTGAGTCCCGGGACATGCTGTGAGACACGGGACATGATGTGAGGCCCGGGTCATGCTGTGAGGCCCGGGACATGATGTGAGGCCCGGGTCATGCTGTGAGGCCCGGGACATGCTGTGAGGCCCGGGTCATGCTGTGAAGCACGGGACATGCTGTGAGGCCCGGGTCATGCTGTGAGGCCCGGGTCATGCTGTGAGGCACGGATCATGCTAATGTAACATCTACGTTCTCTGTTAATGTATTTTCTCAGTATTAGCGCCTTTAGATAATAAAATTTATTGTTTATTATTTCGACAAACGCGCTTGAATGTCTACCACAAAGTGGCTGAAGGCAAATTGTGTTTCTTTTCTACACAGTCAAAGCTGTAATAATAAGTGAAACCTTTTTTTCGATTTAATTTTGCACCCAAAACAATATTATTATTAGAAATGAGATTCATTTTTGGAAGTCAACGTAGGATTATAAATCAATCAAAGAAAAACTAAACAATATTTTTTGAACGCTGCGTAAATGTGGCAATGCTTCGTATTCAATTGATCAAAACAGACTATCTTTAAATTAGGTATATAGACTCAATGGCATTTTCTATCTTATAGTAGTTCTATTGTAACAAATACCCAATTCCATCCTATCCCATTCCCTTAGTTCCTTCTTTTATAATAATACTCGCGATTTCGAGTGTCTCTCAAGTTAAATTAAGGAACAGATTTTTCGCTAAAAAAAAGCAGTATTCCTATACCATAAGACTCGTGAATGAGTGGGGAAAATCTGTAGAACCATGAACCATTCATTGCTCACGTCCATAAATTGATTAGTTCAACTTAAGTTACTTGACAAAATGATTGTTCCCGCTGACGACAGTCGACTCCTACTTGAAACTATGAACATATTACAGCAACTTTATTTCTTCTGAATTTCGCGTAATTGCATTTGTAACTGAAACTTTGCTCGAAATATTCGACATTTAGGGAAATTATAGTATATGGTGGAATTACTTCGAAATTAAAATCGTATTAAATTACTTTTCCCTGACAGTACTTTGGCTTTGAATAAATTAAATTAAACTTAACACGTGATACAAAAACTTCGAAAAGTCACCCTTAATTTGACCAGAATATAAACTACCTACCGGTATAGCGTATACACCTACAGTGATAACTTGTTCAATGCACGTACACCACCCAGACAACTGCACTATATGCAGTACACTCGGTCAATGACAGATAACTTCCCAAACGGCATCAGAAACGCTGAATCAACGTTTACTTAAACGTTGCTTAATTAAACGCTGATCAACGTTTAATTTTATGTTGTTTGACGCCATTCGCTTGGTTGGTTTGTTTCTGGTCCCTCGCAGGAGAGACGCAAAACATGCCTCGTCATTTTTTGCATGTTTTCAGTGAGTCTCGTCATTTTTTAGTCGAGATGCGACGATCCTATGATCTGGGTGCCGATTATCGATGCAAATGGAGAAAATTTTCAAGGCAAATTAGGAGGAATATGCAAGCATGAGTGAGTTAAAATATTTTGATGAATACGTAACGTGCAGTTTTAGTTGAAAGTATAAAGGGGTGCTTGGCGAAAATCAAAAGCTTAAACCTCGTTTTATTTACTTCTAAATTTGTTTGTTCATAACAATCGCAGCTCCACTAAAAAAAGGCTCTCTTATAACTGCTAGAAGAAATTATATAACCCTTTATCGTCTAGCTTTACATATCTGTCGCCCTTCATATAGGGGCAATTTTTGTTAACATTTGAAGCTCATTCACCCAATTGGACAACTAGATTGGCTACAGATTGCGCTATGCCCAGTTAAGGGTTTTGTCGCGTCAGTTTTTTTTTCCAATGAATAAATTTCAGCTTTGTGGTATGGATGCATTGTAGTATTTAGTAATTCATTCTATTTTCAAGAATATAAATGTTTTTTTAATAATATCTTTTAATTTTATGTGAAATAAATCAATAGCGTCTACTTTCTTTTGATTGTGTTGTATTTGTAGATTCATTGATATAGCGAAAGTCAAATTAATTTTACAAGGTTTTGAAAAAAATAAGAAACTTATTCATTTATTTTATAATTACTGGTGCATTGACTGACGATAAAATAAACATTTCAACTCTCAATATTCTTTTTGAAGTTGGCTGTTGCGCTCGTACAAATCTTACATGGTTTACACGAGTGCTTTTTTAGTCCAGCATAATTGCTTAGAAAATGCACGAACAAAAAACACGAGTTTCTAACATCAAAGGCAGATCTATCATAGAAAACTTAAAAAGAACTTCGCAGGATAACTCAAGCAAAATTGGGTTTTCCAAGCACGAGGTGAGGCTCGCTGTTGGCTGTATTTCTTACAACAAGCTGAAACAATTAATCTACTTCTGTAGAATCGGCAACTAATCAACCTCTATGAAATCCTCCACCAAATCCTCCAAATCCTCCTCGATGTCCATGATGCCCATGTCCACCGAAACCACCGAATCCTCCACGATGTCCATGATGTCCATGACCACCGAATCCACCCCCAAATCCACCGCCAAATCCACCACCAAAGCCTCCTCTGTGGCCGTGATGCTGTGGATCAGCAATGGCTACCGCGACTGGTGCGGGTAGGGGAGAAGGAGCGGCTAGTGCCAGAGCCACGAGGCACAGCGCCAGAGTTGCCATAACCTTGAGGGAAGACAGGCATGGTAAGTCAGGCTAGCGCCACAACCCCGAGGCACAGCGCCAGAGTTACCATAATCTTNGCCCTACGTATCATGTCTACCAGCAGCTTTGTCAGAAATAAATTAGTGAGCACTAATAAAGATTTTCTGAGGCCCCAGTTCATGCCAGGCCATTACTTGTTTCTGGAAGTATATTAAAAAAGCAGTATTCTGACGAATTTATAATATGACAATGACTTAACCAGAATGTAACGTGAACGAATTAACGATTTTAAAACTCGTTCTTCTAATGTAGTATGAATGTATACGCTATTGCAAATCAAGTTAACGTTAATAGCAAAACATTTTTCTGATTTCTCGTTCAATTACTCATAGACATATGTTATGATTAGGTTTTACTTCTGTTAATTAAGTTTAAACGCGAGCATAAAAAAGTTTGCAACAGCTGAAATACGTTATTGGAACGAGTCCAATTGCAATGACTTTGAATTGTATCGGAAGTTTCAACGTTACCGAACAAATTTTTACGCTGTTCTGGTAGAAATGCCGTCGATTGCCAGCTTTCACTATTGCATTATTGAGAAAGTAGTAACAAAAATGCGGCAAGTTTGCGTATAATCTCATACTGTATAGGTACCAGGATAATACAGTTATTGGAAGAAGGTAGCGATTGAGAATAATCCTAGACTCTTGGTTGTGCAAAAATAGATTGAATATTAAACATCAAACTTCATTCTTCGGTGATAATAGTTCATACTTGAGATAACATTTATTAAAACTATTTCAAAAATTGAATGGGCTCAACAGGTTTTTATATAGGAAAATTTTATCCGTGGTAAATGCAAGTGCGGCCATGATGTTTTAAGTTATTTACCACGGAAAAGGAGTCGTTTGAAATTCGGAATTTATAGGAAAAGTATGAGTTCTGCTCACTAGTACTGGACCCTAATAATTATAGAGCGTATATTCAAGCCGCGTTAATTTTTATACTTTTCCTATTGTATTCATTTATCATATTTTGTTTATAGTTACTCACGGAAAAGAATGAAGTCATTGTGCTGGGAGTCACTATTTGGCCAAGAGCAGAAATCGACTTGCAAGCGATGAGAGATGCCGGGTTGTGTGGTGAGGTTGATTTGAGCTAAAGCTTTTATAAGCGCCAAAACGAATGCAACCTCCACTGCGTTCACTGATCCCGAATATCTTTGCAGCAAAAACTACTTCAGGTTATCTGCACTTGTAGCGAACACTGATGAGCAAAAGGTGATTCCCGGCACCAAAATTTCAATGACGTAAAACAAGACTGCGCTTAGTGGACCAGATTAGAAAGTTGGCTCGTGTAACCTTTATGTTTGGGGTACCGGGAAGAGTCTTCCAAGAAGAGAGTTTGTAAAAACGTTCTGCGCAGCCAACATAAATTGGTGCATGTCTGAGGAACGTTCAGCTCCTTACGATCAGAGGCTAAAGTTGCGCAACGTTCCGAACGAATCAGCGTTCAATTCTCGGAACTGAATTGAAGGCCAAATGCATTGTACAGCATCTTTAAATTAGTCGCCCGTGTTATGATTCTTTGGCGATGCCTACAAAAAATCGACTCATGTTCAGGTTCGAACTGGAACGATGTACTCTACACAAGCATTTACCCAAGTATTTATTGTACTATTTCGGAAAACAGTTCCCAAGTGAAATTGCTCCATGAACTTTTAATATGGCTCATGATGTTTTATGGTCATGGTATGGTAACCAATTTTATTTCCTCTAGCTAACTCATAGCATATTTTATTTATTAAGTAAAGCTGGAAGAGCTATGCAAAATTAAATGACCCATTGACTCTTGGAATCGAATCTGTATCAACAAACTAGTGGCCCTGGGATATATTCCTGGGAAGATTGTTATTATTCTCTGCATTGCCATCACGCACTGCTTCCTTGTACGAGTCAAGACTTAATTTTATCAACATAACGCACAGTCTGGCCGCTAAGTATGGAACTCCGCAATATGGTTCAGTAGCTGGGTAAGAGATTTATTTTCATATATTATAATATTTCCGTTCTCGAACTAAAGAAACTTGGCAGCGCGTATTCCATTTTTTTCCAGCGAGAGATGCATTCCCATTGCATTTTCTTGCAAATTTCGTACTATTAGTTGAGATGAATTTTTTTTTCAATATCTTAAATGAAAAAATTTTAACTGCACTGCCTGCTTCCTCAGTTTCGACCATATTGCTGATATGCAATACGGAAAACGAAGTTATGCAGACTATGGCCCCGGTTTCGTAATGAACTGACGTGGCCAAATTATTTGACAATTTTCTGTTTATACGTATATTAATTGTTTGTTTGGCAGGAATTTAAAAGCAAAGACAATACCACAAAAATTCACCATATCTTTATAAGAGAAAAAGTTTCAAAGTCCAGCTCCATCGTCAATTGATAACACAAAATTCTGTTCAGAAAAGTTCAGTCCTAAAACACATATAAAGAAATTAGTAAATCAAAATGCACTGTCAGGTTTCAAAGCGGAAAATAAATAAATAAGATATGAAATTAACGCTAGTAAACGGCATATCTATTTACTATTTCAAGAGGAAAGGAGCTATAAGCAGCATTCAGACTAGGCTTCTGTTTGAATATACATGTATACAGGGATTCTAAAATTCGTAGATCACTGACACCGGATGCGGAAGCTAGAATTTTGAAATCACTATCAGATACAGCGGTGTTGCACTGCTCGCCATAAACACGTACAGCAGAATGAGGTGGATGCATGTGCAAGTAGGTTCCCCGTTCTATAACTCTTGCCCTTATGCTCAGCCAGCCTAGTATAGAAATTGCGTGCCGTCATACCGACGTACGCTGATGCGCACTGCGCACAATATCTGTAAACTAGTGATGATCGCATAAGAACAGGTAGGGTATCCTTAAACCTTAAAAAAGAGCCGATTCTAAATTGTTAACTAGCAACTCATGAAGATTTACATCCGTAAGATATTTAGCAAATAAAACTTTTAATTCCTTTGACATAGTCTCAGATGCGGGGCCAAAGTAGGGAAAAGAACAGTAAACAACTTTCCTATTGTCACACTTGGGAACGACTGCTGTATATTTCCTGCAGTATATTTGCAGCATATATATTTTTTATATTTTAGGTATATATTTGCAGTATAATTAAATTTACTAGCGTTAATTTCATGTCTTATTTATTTATTTTCCCTTTTGAAACCTGACAGTACATTTTACTTTATTGATTGATTTAGTTGTGTTTTTAGGATTGAACTTTTCTGAACAGAATATTGTGTTATGAACTGACGATGGAGCTTGACTCCGAAACGTTTTCTCTTATAAAGATATGGTGAATTTTTGTGGTATTGTCTTTGCTTTTAAATTCCTGCTTAACTTGCGATTCAAGCAAACAAGTTGTTTGTTTGGTTGAATCGCAGGTAGAAGGTTGAATTTTTTATCTCAGGTAGCAGGAGTTGCCTTCATCAGCTATAACAGTGCACCTGTAAGTTGGTGTCAAAGAATATGTGCAAAACCATTTATTAACATAACGAATTTAACAAAAGCATCAACAAACATTTTTAATTCTTTAGCGGCTCCATATTTTTATGAAATACATGGAAGACGTCGGCATGTTCTTATCCTCCCAACTCTTTACTGCTCATTGGACTCCTAGCTTTATTTGAGACGTCCGTTTTCATCACGTCATCAAAATGAAAGAGTCTACGTCACAATTTCGTCAACTGCACAGCGGTGCTGTGGTCCCTAATCACTACGTGATTGGTCATGTCTCCGACTGCACGGCAGCTTTAGCGAATTTTGAAGCTCAATTCCGTGGTCCGCTTCTGTCGTTACATTACCAAATAAATTACAAGTAAATGTATTCCTTTATAATATGAGCTGATATAATTTCAAAATATAATGTTTCTCTTTATTCTTTATTGATAAATACGTATGATACGTATTTTTGCCGTATCAACGTCAGAATGTTAATAGGTCATACTCACTAACATTGACATATAAATAGGTCATACTCACGAACATTGGAAGATTTTATTTAAATCCTTGCCAAAGACAATAAGTTGATTCAAACATCAAACGATGTTACTCATGAACCCCCAAAAAGTCCCCACATCGCAATGCTGGCGCGAACATCGAAATGAATAATTCAATTATGGAATGTAGTACATCGTCAATAAAAAGTTAATATAATGCGAACGATGCACAATACCATAGCAAACACAATAATGAAAGTTGATACACGATATTATAACTCTGGCATTTGCAACGTTTCCTACGTATAGTGTCATCACAAAGTGATAAAGTACCTACCAGAATTTATATTTTTTTTATTAATTCAGTAGTCTAACATTTGAAAGAACATGCGTTCAGCAGTTCGCATTACTTTTTGCTTTTGATACAATGAATTATTACAATATACATTAATCAGATAGAAGCTGTCAATGAAAACTTTCATTCATGTTAACGCCGTAAAAACATCGCATATAACGCAAAAAATATAATGTGCATTAATCCGTTATTAATGACTCGCTTCGAAAAATGTAATATAAAAGAAAATTACCATCCTTAACGATTATTAAACTTTTTCTCTAATGAATAATTGCTTGTAATTTAATTACAGGTCGATTCATCAGAAGTCAACTATATATCATGAACATCCTCGTAGTGGTTTACTTATGATGTAATGTGTATCTTAAACACACATAATGATACATAATGATACATTGATTCAACTAAATATTAATATCTGTATTCACAAAGTTATTGTACCACTGACCAAAATGAATGCAACTCGGAAAGTTTAAATCAAACTATATATACATGAAAAACAGTGTAATGTCTCATTATTATACCGACATCAAATTTCGGAGATAAAAAATTTATAACATCTTAATTACTGTAAATGAAAATGAAGATTGAATTTACGTTGTTCTTTGCAATAAAAATACGAAAATGAGAGATCGCGATAAGATGGGTCTATCACTAAGCACAACAATCCTATATCGTTATGTTTTGGATTTTCCTGTATAATCAAGACATCAACAGAATTATCACTGCAATTGCAGTGATAATTGCAGTGACTATAGATCTCAAAAAAAAACTAATCATCCGTTTAATGTTTACATCTCGTTTCGGAAATGTCTCAAGCTCCACTTCTTTGGTTGCAGAAGTCTTTAAGTTTGAACTGCAAGGGCAGGAGCGCTAAATTTGTGATCATTGACATATCATTAAGTTCTGAATTCTCATTTAAAAATACTCTTTGACTCGATTTGCAGAGCAAAAAAATTGTTTCTACTGATGAACGGAAGTTTCTTGAACTGCAAGCAAAACGTTGTGAGAGAATGATATGCTAGCTGGCGCACAAGAACATTTATTCGTTAGTCAATCTTATCCGTCACCGGTCTAAGGATTAGAATGTATTATATTTGCTTGTGTTATTACCATGTCCATCATTCATCAATTTATATTTTAATTTGAGAAAAATTTAATTAGTACAACAATTTTAGAGTGGAACATGCATCGTGACTACAGCGTCTTCACTCTTCTTCAAGTTGAAATGCGCGTAATTTCGAACAACAGTTGATATTTTATTAATTATTCCAAGTATTGTGATGAAATGACCACACCATTGTTGCGCTTAGATACAGAACATTCGCAGACAAAATATCTACACAGTATCTGTATTCCTGCAGAGTATACTGTATATTAGGTATCCTACGTGACTCAATTTCCGAAAACTTTGTAGTCTGCTGTTAAAACAAATCTAACTGGTTTCCATTCCATCACGTTTGCAGATTCCGCTTCTCAATTGCCAAAACATGCCATATTATCTACCTGCATTCAAGCATCAAATCTAATTTGTAAGTTGAAACAAACAATGCTGTGTAATCACTCTTATCTCCCTACTCTATGAGTGTAATCACTCTTTTCTTAATAAATAGCCTCCAAGTAATATATTCATTTGACTCCTATTATCTTTTCTTCCTCTACAGCGCAACATTGTCGTCGACAGAGCAAGCAAGAAGCCTTATCTTCAATTCTCCTTCCATCATGTCTGAATCTAGAGACTTTTTACTTCATACTATAAACTACCTTGTAGGTACCAATTGCGATTTAATTTCAGTTATTTAAGTGTCGTAGTTGAATAGAAGTAAGTAGAAAGTAATGTAGTTTCTACGTAACTCGGACCAGAAATACCAAGAGGTTTTTCGAGGATTTTCATTCAATCAAGTTTCAATTGTAGTCAGTGTCCACTTTGGGAGACAATGTTTCTTAGTTGCATCGTCATTCAATATCTAAACTTACGTTCAGCATTTTTCAATAAATCGGAATCCACATTTTCCTTATTTTTTGGGAAAAAAATTCCAAACGCTCTTGTTTATTCCAATATTTGCTTATAGCAAAGGTTACTAAATTTTAATGAAAGCTTGAAAAAATATTTTCATCATTCCAAAATTTTATGTTGGCTTTGTGTTTTCTCATCAATATTTGTTGACTAGATTGAAAATACTTACTTCATTTTCAATCGATGATTAGTTCAAAGTACATTACTGTGCTTACCGGACTTTGAAAAAAACGGCGTTACATCCACTGACCAGGGCTCAGTTTGTCACACTGCGGAGCAGGTGATTGCATGCACGCTCAAGACGGCAATATAAATTATGGTTATATAAAAGATCCATTTAATCGACACAGTGTTTCTATCAAATGAAGTGTTCAGGTTTGTGTCTATGTGCAATCTATATCCTAATGTAAGACGTCTGTTAATCAAGGTAATTAATTGATGAATTAATCCTAATTTAATTAACTAATGTAAGTCGTCTCCTGAAGTAAAATTTCTCCTAGTAAAAATACCTGTCTCTTAT